TTTGCAAATACAGCTGTCCCTTGATAATCTGACAGGTATGGGACCAAAGGGGTGTAGGATTACCGAAAGTGATTATATATTTGGTATTGTTTTGTTAGCAGTAGCCTACAATATTCCCTACTCCAACTGTTCGAACAGAACTGCTCATGGAAAACACACGAAATGTGTGTCATCGTATAAGAATTGGGTGGCAAGATTCATGTCGCAACATGCTTCTGTGCAAGCAGACATGTAACGGGGACAGGTACCTTGACGGGAGGTGTGTCGGACTACTGACCACGTCAGACTATCAAGGGACAGTTGTAATCGTATTATATATGAATGAATGAAATGCTGCGTAAATTTTGAGCTTTTTTAAGGCTTTGAGCAGACCCATGTTATATTGAATCAGTGTTAGGCAGGGTCTTACTGTATTACCATTTGTAATAAAAGATAAAATAGAATGCTACATATATTATGTTTTCTTGAGATTTGTGAGGAAGCAATGATGGTACCCACTCTGGATTGTTGGGATCATTGGATGGTTGCCATATCAAATTAACACAATATACAACATAACATACTGTTCTGTGTTTTATGTTTAGCATGTAAATGTGAACTCATTATCTCAAAATGTCTTAACAATATTTCTAGAAATATTCACATTTACAACATTGGTTAGCAACAATAGAAAGTTAGAAATCAAAAGTGTTAGTAAGTTCCTTAGTTGTGCTATTTGTTGAGAAGTTTATTGCCAAATACAGTCTCTATGTTAAATATATTGTATTTAAGCATCATATAATATACATTTTTTTCAAGTTGGATAGAAATCTTTGGAATAAATTAACTTCACAAGTTGAAGACATCCATATATTTTTACGCTATATAGTAAATATTGTTTAAAATATATTATGAAACACATTACATATTTATACAGTAGCAAATAAGATTATGATAAATAAAACTTATTCTCCATAGTTTTATAACTAAAGACTGTTAATACTGTTTAGCCATTTTGTTATATTACGTTGCATGAATTTTAGGACTTAAAAAAAGTGTTGTTGACTTTTTCTCAATATTTTCTGATGGTAAAATATTAATCTAATAATGATCATATGTAGAAGTGCATGTTTTACTTAATTCCTATAACCCTATGTTAACCTAAATATTTTCTCTTATATTCCAGCAAAGAAATGGGCTAATTCTGTCCATGTATCAGAAATGAACTTTATGAACAGGTACAATGTTATTTAAATGCACTAAAAGCTATTCAAATGCACATATTACATCTAAAATCTTAATTATAATAACAAGAAAAATACCATATTCTAGAAATTAAAATATATTTATTGTAATATTCTCAGATTGACACTTACAAGTTAAAATGTACAATAATTAATATTAAAGAAGAATTTTAATTTGAATTTTTAAAAAAATATTTTAATATTTTTAGACAGGAATACAATAAGTTAAGCTTGACAGAAACTGATAAAATACGGTCAATCTGAATTATTTAAAACAATAAATTTCTTTTTATTTCTAGAATCTAGCATTTTTCTTTGTTGTTTTATATGGAGTTGCACTGTTTAATTGTATAAATTATGTTGATAATATGAATAGCAATGCATTGATAAAAATATTCTTGAAAATTGTAGTAATTATGCAGTATTTTTCACTTATTATTTGAACTCACATAAATAAGTGGAAATTTGTCTTAATACCTCAAGTTTAAGCAAGATGGAGGGAGTAACAAGTAAGGTTCAATTTATAGTTGCATAGTGAAAATGCACATTTGGGTTGGTTATTTGATAGTTTTGAGATTATTGTTGTTTTTGGTCTTAGAGTTGTTATATCATATTGTTAAATGGGTTAATTGAAAAAATTACATTGTGGTTAATCCAAAACAGATTAATATTAGAATTGTTTGATTAATTGAGGAAGAGAAAGAAGTTTCAAGGATGATATCTTTTGAGTAAAAGGCAGAAGAAAATGTATTCCTGTTAGCCTGATAGAATACATTCCTTCTTTATTTTAGATATTGTGTTGTATATTTGATGGTGATATTTCTGGAACATAAATGAACAATTGGATTAAAATGTTTGAATTTGTTTGAATTTATCATCATGATATTTTCTCTACAAGCTTGTTTTTGTGCTTATTTGCAAGATTTAGTCTTTATATAAAGATTGCTATTTAGGATTTGAGAAGCATTTAATGAAAAATATTTTTCAGTTGATTACATCAATAACTGTTTCATTACTTCAATTTTAGCATAAGATCAATTCAAGAAATACTGTAAATGTTAATGACATGCATAATTTTTCATTTAATCTCATAAATAATTTTGTGTTATGAATCTATTCACCAAAAATAATCCCTCAGTATAGAAGTTAAATTTTTTCTTTACTGTTCTCTAATCTGTTTTAGTCCAGATCTGAACAAAAAACAAATGTAAGTTGCTACCATTCTTATATTTTACAGCAAGAAAATTTTATTATCTTATTGAACTCAATGGAAATTACACTTTCAATTTAAAAAAAATTGCTACCTTATAGCTATATAATTAACATTTCAAAACATTTGAAAATATTGAATTTATGTATAAGCTATAAATTATATATAATTTCTTTTATATACAGTCTATAAAAAGCATGTTTCATAGTTTCAATAAATTTTATCAAATTTTAATTATCAAAAAACATAATTAATTTTCTAAAATTATAGTAAATGAATTTGAAATACTTTCAAAAGAAATTTTTCATGATTAAAACTGGAGATATGTAATCATTAAATATTAACCTTTAACTTCAAGACATTTTTGGCATGTTAAAGGCCATCCTCAGTGCTTATGAATGGAACATCATTCCAAAAAAGAACAATTTGAATGTCAGCATTGATTTTTGAATGTAGGACATTCCAGTATCAGAATGTTTTTGCAAAATTCAAATGGCATATAGTTTGAAAAACAGTGAAAACAAAAAAGCCAGTGAGCAAGAAGACAAAATGGATTAAAGAAGCCTGATGCACACAGTTAACAACCACCCCCTACAGACTAAAGTTAAAATTGGAACAAAGTAGTCAATATGAGGTTCACTTTCTTGACATAAATATTAAGCTATAAACATACACTAATACTAGAGAAAATGATAAATCTAATAAGACATCTTAATACTCCAGTAGAACAAATAATATTTAATAACTAAACAAACATTTTTTGATCATGTTGAACAGTTATTGTCAGGCTTGTCTAGTTTGAGTCACAAAAAATTAAAAATTGAAACAAACTGCATGTTACTAAGTTAAAATAATTCTAACACTGAGCTCCTTTACTAAATAAAAACAAAAAACAAATGTTTTTGATGATTTTTACCTGAAGATAATTGTATAAAATCATCAAAAACATTTGCTTTTATTTAGTAAAGTAACTTAGTGCAGGATGTTAGCCCGAAAACTAGAAGATTTGAACTTCTGTTCCAATTTTTAATTTTCTATGATTTGAATTAATTAAATCTGACAATGACCATTCAACATGGTTGAAAAAATTTGTTTACTTATTACATGCTATTTATTCTACTGGATACTTGTAGCTTAATATAAATCTAACAACACCGATACAGTGTTGATAGATTTATATTAAGCTACAAGGTGGATGCATATCAATGTCAATATACCAAAACCTCTCAACATACCATTTTAATCAAGAGAACTTTCACATACTGTATGAACATCCAGAACACATAAGTTAACACACGTTAAAGAAATAGCAAGAGAACACAGATACATTAGTTTAACATCTTACCAACATCTATGCCAGCAATAAGCAAAAGATACAAAGTGGCAGTTGTGGCCTTCAATTTGTCTTTCCTATCTTCAACCTTTTATATAAGATGATAGCAAAAATGACAGGCTGTACTACGTTGTGTATTCTATTTTATGTATACATAAAATAGAATACACAACATGCTTTCAGAATTCCTGGCATATACAAGGCACCAATAATAGATGAGAGGTTTCATACACAGAGTAAATACATTAGAGCAACTTCCCACTCCCTCTTGTCAAGGTTATGTGAACATGCAGCTGACGTAAAGGTTACACACAACTGCTTTGGCCATATGTGCAACAGACTCAGGTTGCTATTTAACGAGATCTCTTTAAATTATCTCTCTTACTGGATGGATTAAAGCCCTTAGAACAACTATATGTTTACTTTTCTGAAAGAAAGGCATATTGCATTAATTTTAAAGATTATAACATCATTTTTACATCTTAAAAAGCTCTTTTTAAATTACAGTTAATTTGGTTTTACTGATTTTATTTATTTGTTGTTTCCTATTTTGATCTTTATTCCATTTTGCCTTTATCTTGCTTATTTTTTGTTTTCACCGTTTTTTGAACTACATTGTATATTTAGGATGACATTCCTCTAATAGAATATGTCATCTTCAATGAGATATTTGCTCTCTTGATGCCAAATTTGAATTTTAGAAGAACTTTCTGATACTGGAATGCCCTGTTTGAAAATTAATACTGACAATCAAGTTATTCTTTTTCATAATGATGATCTGTTTAGAAGCACTGAGCTCTTTAACTTCAAAATGTAGTCAGTCTTTAAAAGGCTGAAAACATTTTGAAGTTAAAAGGTTAGTGTTTAGTGAAGAAATTCTCTTACTTGCTTCTGAACTAACAAGTAAGGTTGATATACTTTAATGATATACAGAAAATTATTAGTAATATTAGTTAAATACCTTGAGAAAAGTGATTTAAATAACACATTATTAACTATTGATATAACAAAGACAACCGATTTAAAAAAAATTTTTTTTTGTTTGAGACTAATGCCATTAATTTTGAAATTTTTGAGCAGCTACTTAAGTTTAATTTATTATAAGGAAAATTCATTTGCATAAATGGCAAGAAAATCATTTGAATGTATATGCTACATTTTAAAATTTTGAAACCCTTATCATTTATTCCTGATATTCTGTAGGAATTCATCTATGAGAACAATAGCAAATAAGTTACTTATCTTTTACAGCCTCCAATGTCAGCGGGTCGCATAAATTTGATAAATCAGGCATTTAAAAAGATGGATCGCACTGGCGATGGTGTGATAACTATTGAAGATTTGAAGGGTGTCTATAATGCACAAAAACATCCTAAGTACTTAAATGGAGAAATGACTGAAGATCAGGTTTTTCTAATGTTTTTGAAAAGCTTTGATTGTCCAAATAATCCAGATGGAAAGGTATTTAAGTTTGTACATTATATAATTAATAACTTTATACAGGAATAATTAAATTATTTTTTAAAACATTTTTAATAGGTAACAGAAGAAGAATTCCTTAATTACTATGCAGGCGTTAGTTCCTCTATTGATACAGATGCATATTTTGACTTAATGATGAGAAATTCATGGAAAATTTAAAATAAATTTTACATTCCGTATATCTCCAGTATTTCCATCCTCAGAAAAAATTTTTTATTGAATTAAAGCTCTTACTGTTTACACAGCTGTCAAACTTAAGCATTTATGGTGATATAGTGATGCCTATATATAAATTTTATTAGATAGCTTGTTGATGACCTTGTGACAATAAAAATGTGCATAAATATAAAATATATAGCAAGTACTGATATTCTGAAGTATCTTTCAATGTTGATGTCTAAAGAAAACTGTTCAAATGCAAATTTAGGCTTCCATTGCAATCATTGAGCCATCTCGATTCACCTGCCAAATTTTGTAGCAAATTTAGATATTTAGATTGATAAAATTGTTGAAAATGATTTGCTATAAGAAAGAAAAATATTTTAATATACTATTTGCTAGAATTATGTAACAATTTATATAGAATAAGCTTATTACAAACTTCCATCCATTATAAATTGTCAATTTTTACATAAAATATTTTCAGGTGTATTAATTTGATCCAGTAATTAGGGCCAAATTAATATTTAAAAATATTTGTGTGCTGTACTTATTATTATTATTTTTTTTTTTGTATACAGTTACAAACAGTATTATTGTTGAAAAAACTAAAAGAAAGGTACTTATGGCATTTTTTTTTTATTAATGAAAAGTTTTTGCCTGTAAAACTTTACAGTGATTTTATGGTTTTGCATATATGATTGCAATGTTACTGTTGTATTTCTATTTAATGTTGTCATTGTTGCTAATATCCCTATAAGGCTTTTTATATATATATATATATATATTGATGGTTCAAAACTTTCTTATATTGTTTATTTTATATTTATATTTTAAAATTGTATACAAAATATTTTAAATCATTATCCATTTTAATTTATCTTGTTTCTTTTGTTGCTTCTAAAAATTTCACTTGTTAAATTTCACAAAAAAAAAAAAAAATAATTATATTTAAAAAATTTTTAAATTCCAATTTAATACATTGACTTTAATTACTATATTTTACACTTAACTCTTTAGTAGCCAAAATAAAAATAGTTCTGTTCTTTATAAAATAATTAGTTATCAATTTATTGTTAATTACTTGCTGAAACTTTTTTTTTGTAGATTTTTCAGAAAATACAACACAAAGGTTTAAACTTTCATTTGAAACTGCAAATATATCTCATTATAACAATGTAATGTTGTACAGTACATTTTAAATTTTACAAAATATCTGCTATAAAGGATCTTTTCAAAAATTAATTTGTTTTGTGAAATTTGTAAACTATGCATTTATCACTTACAAATTTCTAATTTTAATGTTTTTTCTGGATTTTTTAATTATCATAGATAAATAAATTTTTCCAATTTTGCTTCAAAGTTTTATAGAATATTGTTTAGCTTTGAAAATTTTTCCTATATATTGTTCATTAAGTTGACGGTTTTAGGTACAGTCAACCCCCCATAACACTGATTATTCAGTTTTATATGAATTCCATGTTGTACGAGTCACTTGTATTTGTAAAATCTAAGTGACTCATACAACATGGAATTCATATAAAACGGAATAATCAACAGTGTTATGGGGGGTCGACTGTATTATCTTTATTGTTGTTGTAGAAATCAAACTACTGTTTACATTGGAATTATTCTGGGTCAATTAACTTATAAACTTCACCAATATATAATAATTGAAATGATATAATTTCTAATATGCTTAATAGTAAGACTTTTTAGTTATAAAGGATGTTTCATATAAGATGTTAAGAGTCAATAATTCAGAAAAATATGCTTCTGATAAAAAATAAATTGGTAAGAATAAAATTTTTAATATAAATATTAAAATTTATTCTTACCAATATTTTTATATAAAATAAGATTTAAAAAAGTAAAGTATAAGTGCTATTATAAAAGAAGACTTGAGTTACAATGGTAAATTATAATGTTTTGTCTATCTTTTTTTAAATAATTAACAATAAATAAAATAAAAAATGCTATAGAGCATGTGATTACTATGAGTCTACATGTATTACTGAGCAAATGTAAATAAATAAATATTTTTAAAGGCTTTTTTAATGCTGTAAATAAAGCCTTGCCTATATCCTTTGTGGGTGTATGGCTGGAGATTACTTCAAAATTTAAAATGGAATTCCAATTTTTTCATATTTTTGGATTATCTCTTAAATAATAAAAAAATGTTTTATTCAGAATGGTTTAATTTTAAAAAGGCAAGTTTTTTATGCTAATTTATTCCCCATTCCTTTATTTTTTCAGTTATTTAATAAATATGTCGCACTAACCTTGTATAGCTTTGCAGTTGTTGCTTAAAACATATCACTGTTTTCAATCCATTTCTAGGGTTTTCTTCAGGTGTTCTGTAAGTTTTTCTGGTGCAATTCTGATTTTTTAATTGTTCTGGTCTCCAATGCTTCTATCTTCAGAATTTATTTATTTATTATTATTTTTTAAATAAATTCCAAAGGTAAAAGCATTGGAGACCAGAACAATTAAAAATAGGAATCGCACCAGAAAAACTTACAGAACACCTGAAGAAAACCCTAGAAATGGGTCGAAAACATTAGTGATATGTTCTAAGTAATAACTGCAAAGCTATACAAGGTTAGTGTGATAGATTTTATTTAATAAAAGCAATAATTACAAATACATCTAATAAACAATGTTCAGAGAGATGTCAATTTCCATCTAAACATTTCAGTAATTGAGTAATAGATTCTCAAATGGAGCACAACACTTTCAGTGTTATGAAGCAAAGAATAAGTGATGCATGTGCTAAAATATCTTGAATTGTGGTCAGTTGTTGATCCTTTATGAAACCCAATAGGAAATAATTGGGGTCAGGTCCTGTGACCTAGACATCAATTGATCATCTGTGTCTAATTCTATTGTTATCCAAACATGTTTGAATTACTTGAGCATTATTTATTGTGATATCGTCGCAATGCCAGGCTGCAATTTTTAATTAATTTACATTACAATACTAATTTGAGGTGGAGAGCATATATTTTAGTGTCTTGCCCCTATTTATCATACTTTCCCATTAGACAGATGATCGACACAACTCTATTGCTAATTCCTTTCAGGGAAAAAATTTTTAATTGAAATAACATGACTTCTGGTTTGTACCAGAAGTTCATATATCAGGGCCTCCTGCCCCTAATCTTTCAATATCTGGTTTCGACATTCATCTATCAAACTCCATTGTTGAGATTAATAAAGGACAGACAGACAACAGTGGGAATTTATAGGTCTATAATTTTTTGAAATTGCAGCCCCCAAAAAAATTGGGATTCCATTTGAAATTCTGAAGTTGTTCCCATTTCCACCCTAAAGGGAAAATAGGCAAGTCCTTATTTTTAAGGCATTAAAAATTATGTCTCAATAATATTTAACTTTTATTCTTATAAATTTTCAAATTATTGACTTGTAGCACCTTATGTGAAAACCTAGTATATAAACTTTGAATTCAATATTGAAAAACCTTACTTTCAGATATTTTGTTAAATTGCACTACACACAAAAAGTAATATATCGGATGTATTTATTTGATTAAGAATATATAAAATCTTCTATAAGATTACAAAGATCCTGATATTACCACCATATTGTGTTACTAGCAGAAACTTAAATTTTTAACCATGTCCATCCAAAACATTTACTGCCATGTAAAAATTGTTGAATTTATTGTACAAAGTTTTGTAATCTTTTTATAAGAATATCAATATTAATTTCATTGTAGTCACTATAAAATAATTTAGCATTTATATTAATTAAAACCAATGTACGTTACGATTTAATTCTTACATGTAGTTTGTTTCATAAACAAAGATTTACTTTGTCTACTTACGTTGCCTTTTTTTGTTTTATATATATATATCCTAATTATATAGCTCTTTTTAATTAATTTTATGCATTTGAAAAATTCACCAGATCAGTTTTGAGTCTGATGATTGATTAATTAGCCATTTAATGGAATTAAAGACAAATCCTTTAAATATCCCACATTTGCCTATTGTGCCTAACCTTGTAAACTGTATGTCTTCTGGATGTAACTCTTATTAATAAAATATGTTGTGCAAGTGTTTAAAAATTATAATATGCATGCATAAAATTTGAATTTAGATATTTAAGATGTGAAAAATTTTACATATAGATAATATGATACTGAATTTTGTAGATTAGTAACATTAGATATTACTACATACATTACAGTGAAAAACTTATTAAAACAGTGTTATGACTTAATAAAATTATTAAATGTAGTTTGACTAAATAGTTTGTACTATATTAATTATTATATTCAATAAAATTAAAAGTATGTTTTGAAAAATTTGAGATCCAAATATTAAATTAACTGTGCTTTTATAAAAATTTTAATTACAAATTGAAAATACATAAAAAGTCAGTTAATATAAAATTCAATTTGATACTATAATTTCTGAAATAAGTCAGAAATTTCTAAGTTAATATATTAAATTTTGGCAGATTTCAACCTAGCTTTTCACAGTATTGAAAAAGAACTGATTTACACCACGAAAATAAGAATTTTATAACTTTCTCTTTACTTATTGATAAACAACATAGTTAAAAAAAATTAATTTTATTTGAAAAGAAAATAGATCCATTTTTCTTGCTTATGTTTTATTCCTTTAATTGAAATAGTTAATTTTGATTAAAGAAAATAAAGAAGTTAAGTTAGCTAAAATTTTAATTTTTACAATTTATTATATTATATATTCTAGATTTTTTTTCCTTAAATTAGTCTTTGAAGAATAATTTCAATGTTAATAAATAAATTTTGTTGAATCTTTGATTAGAATTAGAACAAAACATTATTAAATTATTTAAGAATGTGGATTGCAAATAACCGTTAATATCTGTTGTGTATAAATTTATGTTCCCATCTGAAAAATAATGGTATAGAACAGGATTTTAACTCACATTTCTTATTTTAATATGTGTGTTTTGTTGTTTAATCTATATAAATGCTGAATTAAAATTCTTTCAGATATATTATTAATTTTAAAAATGTCACTATAACTGCAAAGTTCCTCTAGTTTGAACATATATATCAGGCAAAAGTTTGAAGTCCTGCATCAATAAAATTTTTATTTCCATANAAAATTTTTTTTTGTTTGAGACTAATGCCATTAATTTTGAAATTTTTGAGCAGCTACTTTATTTTATTATAAGGAAAATTCATCTGCATAAATGGCAAGAAAATCATTTGAATGTATATGCTATATTTTAAAATTTTGAAACCCTTATCATTTATTCCTAATATTCTGTAGGAATTCATCTATGACAACAATAGCAAATAAGTTACTTATCTTTTACAGCCTCCAATGTCAGCGGGTCGCATAAATTTGATAAATCAGGCATTTAAAAAGATGGATCGCACTGGCGATGGTGTGATAACTATTGAAGATTTGAAGGGTGTCTATAATGCACAAAAACATCCTAAGTACTTAAATGGAGAAATGACTGAAGATCAGGTTTTTCTAATGTTTTTGAAAAGCTTTGATTGTCCAAATAATCCAGATGGAAAGGTATTTAAGTTTGTACATTATATAATTAATAACTTTATACAGGAATAATTAAATTATTTTTTAAAACATTTTTAATAGGTAACAGAAGAAGAATTCCTTAATTACTATGCAGGCGTTAGTTCCTCTATTGATACAGATGCATATTTTGACTTAATGATGAGAAATTCATGGAAAATTTAAAATAAATTTTACATTCCGTATATCTCCAGTATTTTCATCCTCAGAAAAAATTTTTTATTGAATTAAAGCTCTTACTGTTTACACAGCTGTCAAACTTAAGCATTTATGGTGATATAGTGATGCCTATATATAAATTTTATTAGATAGCTTGTTGATGACCTTGTGACAATAAAAATGTGCATAAATATAAAATATATAGCAAGTACTGATATTCTGAAGTATCTTTCAATGTTGATGTCTAAAGAAAACTGTTCAAATGCAAATTTAGGCTTCCATTGCAATCATTGAGCCATCTCGATTCACCTGCCAAATTTTGTAGCAAATTTAGATATTTAGATTGATAAAATTGTTGAAAATGATTTGCTATAAGAAAGAAAAATATTTTAATATACTATTTGCTAGAATTATGTAACAATTTATATAGAATAAGCTTATTACAAACTTCCATCCATTATAAATTGTCAATTTTTACATAAAATATTTTCAGGTGTATTAATTTGATCCAGTAATTAGGGCCAAATTAATATTTAAAAATATTTGTGTGCTGTACTTATTATTATTATTTTTTTTTTGTATACAGTTACAAACAGTATTATTGTTGAAAAAACTAAAAGAAAGGTACTTATGGCATTTTTTTTTATTAATGAAAAGTTTTTGCCTGTAAAACTTTACAGTGATTTTATGGTTTTGCATATATGATTGCAATGTTACTGTTGTATTTCTATTTAATGTTGTCATTGTTGCTAATATCCCTATAAGGCTTTTTATATATATATATATATATATTGATGGTTCAAAACTTTCTTATATTGTTTATTTTATATTTATATTTTAAAATTGTATACAAAATATTTTAAATCATTATCCATTTTAATTTATCTTGTTTCTTTTGTTGCTTCTAAAAATTTCACTTGTTAAATTTCACAAAAAAAAAAAAAAA